AATTACAAATTTACAAGAACACATGGGACCACAATTCCTCCGCTTAAATCACACTCTCCACCTAAGTCTAGCAGCGAATGTTGCTACCCTTGTCCGACTTCAGTCTTCTAGAGCCATTCAAGCAATAAATCCCGCTATTTGATTATCCATTTCATTTTCCAAACTTTTTTATTATTAATAATTAATTTACTTTTTCTTAATTCTATTTAGTTTTCTATAAAAAAAAACTATTTCGTTGACGTTACATTTTGTAATATATACATATATTATTGGTTTTTTCTGGTAATTTTTTTTAATTATTTACCAAGTAAAAGACGTATATATTGACACATTCTTTTTGGGAAGGTGGGTTCTTGCTTCCACGACCCCGTTGCAGTTTTTTCATTCTAGAGACACAGAGAGTGGGAAATAAAGAAATGGTCTTCGCCCTCGTTATTTGACTTTTTTTTATTGAAATTCTGTATTTTCTCACAACTTTATTCCCTTTTGTTATGGAATTTCGATTCGTAGGCCTCTGCCTCACGGACTGCAAATTCCAGGACCTCTGAAATCCGCTCCTTCGTCTTCTTCTCAGCCTTCCTTCCTTTGTCGTTTTTTCTCAAGGCCTTTTGCAGATTGGCTCCTTGATGGTCTCCTTGACGTCGTTGATGATAATTAATTCAAGCCAATCCCCCAACTGGGTTTGCGCAGTTTCGAGCTCTCTCTCTCATTAATGTGAGTTTCAACGCTTTTGTTTACCCCTGTCTTTGTCTCTGTCTCCCTCGTTACTAAAATAAATGCATGAACAAGAAGAAAGATTCCTAACCCAACAATTTCCCAATTCACTGGATCTTCAAACTCATCAAAACAACCAAGAATGTTCTTTTAATCCGTTTCCCAAATCCGATATCAAAGTACCCTTTTGATTGTTTGATCCAATTCTCTTTGTTTGAATCAAATTGGTGGGTTTTGGGGTGATGGGTTGCGCAAGCTCGAAGCAAAAGTCACGATGCCGGCACTGCCAGAACCCCTATTCTCCAGTTTCCCGAAGCTACTCAATGCACGTCCACCACCCACCTCAAACCAAAGGCGACAGCTACCATGTTGTTGCCCTCACCTCCTCCACCTTGGGCTCTCTCAAGCCCGATCCCTCCCTTCAAAGCAACCACCACCTCGAGGCCAACAGATTTGCTAATGGCAATGATCACATCGACAAGGAGAACATTATTGGTAACGGTCACAAAACTGATGAACATGGAAAGGAAAATGTGCAGGACAACAAAAAGGAATTTTCAATGGGACTAATCGAAGCGAAGACATGGTCTAATATGATCGATCAGAAAATCCCAAAAATTGTACCCAGGACCCCAATCAGGACACCCCCGGGCGAGCCCGAGACGATCAATACTTGGGAGCTAATGGAAGGCCTTGAAGACATAAGCCCTTTCAGGTCACCAGCTCATCACCTCCGGAGCTTCTCTTTTGATGTTGTTAGAAGCCCAAGTCCAGTGCCCATTTCCCCTGCTGATCGCCCCAAATCAAAGCTACACGAAAACGGTACCGTGTCACCTAAGCCCATGTGGCTTCAATTGACAGAAGACGATCGTGTGGATTCCAATTCCTTGATCTCAGACTTCGATCCCGAAGTCATTTCCGCGTTCAGAAAATCGTTATCGGAGCTCAAATCCGACGACGACCCTTTTCATTTTTCACAGTTGGGTGTCCAAAAGAAGCCGGCTTTGGCCTGCAATGGCATTGTTACAGAGTACGAATGTGATGCAGTACCTTGTGGCAAGGTAAAGGACAACAAGGACAGGGACAGGGTTGTATTGTACTTCACGAGCCTCCGAGGTGTAAGGAAGACGTACGAGGACTGTTGCCATGTGAGGGTGATATTGAAGGGCGTAGGGGTCCGAGTCGATGAGCGAGACGTTTCGATGCATTCGGGGTTTAAGGAGGAGCTGAAGGAGCTTTTGAAAGATGGGTTCAGTGGGGTTGCCCTGCCCAGAGTGTTTCTGGGAAACAAGTACATTGGTGGAGCTGATGAAATTCGGCAATTGCACGAAGATGGGAAGCTCGAGAAGTTGCTTGAATCTTATGAAAAATTGGATGGTGGCGGTGCTGGAGGTGGTGGAGTTTGTGATGCTTGTGGGGATATAAGGTTTGTGCCATGTGAAACATGCTCAGGGAGCTGTAAAATATATTATGAAGATGCTGATCGTGACGAAGAAGATGAAGAAGAAGAGGAGGAAGAAGCAGAGGAGGGTGAGTCGGGGTTCCAACGGTGCCCAGATTGTAATGAAAATGGCCTAATACGTTGTCCAATATGTTGCTATTAGTTTTCTGTGGCCTAAACACAGGTACTTAGTTTTGACCATTTTTTGGTGCTTCTTTTGGGTTTCTTTCTTGGTGAGTTGTTTGTTGTACAGTATAGAGTTTTGGTACATTCCATTTCAAGAGAAGAAAAAAAAACTGCAATAGGAAACAGTGAATAATGTTTCAAGCAGGCAGAAGCAGGTCCCCTCAACCTCTATGAAGGCTGTATAATTTCCATTAGTTTTGTTTCCAAAGAAGAAAACAAATGAGAAAGCCTTGTATTGTAATACTATATATCCTCTACAAGAATTTGAAGAGCACATATGAAATGCCCTGTATTCTCAGCTATTTGTTCTTCTTTCAGTTGTTGTATGCACACACCACCATAATCTTTGAAAACCTTGTTTTCTAATTGCATGCCACACTTAAATTTGATGCCAATACAGTCACTATAAAAGAGAAGAATTTGCATGTGACGGGAGTGCTATTTTCAATCAATTACCATCTGCTATGTGAAAAAGTTATCAAATATAACATAACGTAATATATAACATAACGTAATTGATCGTGATTAACAAAACAATATTATTCCAGTGGTGATATACAATTACTAGCAGCAGACCATCAACTTCTTCCTCTAGGTCTGTTAAGGACACCTAAAAAATCATTAAATTTAGCAGAAAAATAATGTAATTTCTTAAAGGTTGTGCAGAAAGTGCTAGACTGTTAGTGCTGCGGGCACATCTTTTCATACATGGACGGCTGTGTAATATGTATGTGCACAGTACATATATTATAGAAGAAGAAAGTAAGTTAGTTTGGTATGAAATTGATGATTAATTATATAATTTGTACTCAATATTATTTTATGGTTGTGTTGTGTATACAATATAGTAGTTGGCTGCAACCATCTCAGAGACGGGAAGGGTCATCAAACATTTTGATGCATGCCAAGCAAATTAGGTGAAGAAAGAAAGAAATTATCAGGGTCAATGTCGGCGAGTGAACAAAATTTGAGAGTGCCCTGGTCAATCCACCGTCTTTGGTCTTGACAAGTAAAATACAAGTAGGGCATGAAACCTACTTTACAACCCCCAAAAAAGGGCAAACTAATGTATTATTATTTCCTTTCCTTCAATAAAGTTTCTTTATCTAAAGCTTTGATTAAAAAAGACTTGAAATATCACCTGAAGCTGATGAGTTGGTGAAAATAAACCAAGGCACAGACAACTTATTATATATGAATTAGACTTAGACAGGACGGCTCATGACAATTAAGTAAGATACTAGGCAGAATATATTATCCTGGCAAGGTGCCATAAACAACTGGTTGTGCCACAAAAGGGGCATCTACATAATCCAAACTAATGGGTTTTTTTCTTCTTTCAAGTGACACTCTCCATCTAATCAAATCATATCGACTTGGGGTTTTTTTCTTTAAGAGATAGACCCATAGAGGCCATTAATGTGCTATGTGGTGTCCAAAAGGAAAGGGAAAAGGATAAAAGACCAATGGAAACAACTGTTTTTTGTCGAAAACATGTCATTAGTACTGCTGAATAAAAACACTCCCATTAAATTTTTTTGAGGTAACGACATAATCTGAAAGTTACACAATTGTGGTCCATCCCTCTATCATCTACTCCACTTGGGGTCTTTTTCTTTTCTCCTTTCTGCTATAATCGTACATTAATTTAAGTTACGGGAATGGAATTTGAACTTGAGTGTAAGGGGACGAGTCACTAAACCACAGTTGTGGTCTAGGACTTTATCCTCCACTTGGGTTTTTCTTTTCTCTTTGTAAAGGGAGATTGAAAGATGTTCAAGTCTATACATATAATGTTGTTGGATCAATATCAATATTTTGGTTGCCACATATTCGGCTGGTTCTCTGGAAAGTGATAGCCATATGTGAAAAGGGCAAACCAGTTCCCAGCCTTTTAGTTGTATAATATGATTTCAATGATGGGACTCTTACACCGCCATGTTTTACAATATACGTTTTCCCTAACACCAAACAAAGCGTAGAGGAGAAAGTCATGTGGATGCTTTGTCTGCTTTTGTGCGCTCATAATCAGTAATGGGCGTAAAGCTAGGATCTCACCAACTAAAAACCCTTTGGTTAATCAATCTTACTGAGTTCAGCATGTCATCAATTAAGGCATAAACCCAAAAAATAAAAGGCTAAATAAAGCTGGAATCTTATCAACTAAAAGCAAAACAATGTCATCCCCGTTAGGAGTTGAGCATTAAGCCATAAACCCAACAAAGAAGAAGCAAAAAGGTAGCTTTCTGAATATACGAATTAGTAATTGGCAGTCTAGAAGATATGCAGGGCACTGGTGGTTGGCTTTAGATGTCGGCCAAAAAACATAATGTCAACTTTAGAACATTACGGGGTCGTTGGGAAGCAAAGACTAGGGCTTGCTGAATAAGTATATACTGATTGATCGGTTGGCAGGTGAAGAACAGCATTATTAATAAAACAAATAAAGAAATTAGAAGTTAGTTAATGGGAGGCAGGCAGTGGGAGTTGTGAAGCTTAAACCTTAATTATGAAAGTAACAACCATAGTCTTTGATTTATGGTTGAAATATTAACATTCTGGTTGTTCAAATGAGAGTCAAGCCATAGTTGCTGATCATCCAGGGGATGCTTGCCTTCCAAGACTGGTCAATGAGATGATATGGTCAAAGCAGATAACATGGTCAAAAGAAAAACCAGCAAGATTGTTTCTAAACGATTTTGAAAGGTCATCTATTAGATCACAATTTACTTCAAGGCCTATTTATTTGCAAAGAAAATTTATAGGAGATAAAATAGACAAGACAAATGTGAACGTTGTTTATTTACTGGTATGAGAACCCAAATCAGCTGCAGCTTTGCTTGCACGTGTCAATACATCTGAAACCCACAGAGCTCCCTTGGCAAAGAAGCTGCTATTGACTAAAGCGCTTCCTGCTGCCACAGCTGCTTCCCCAGTAACTGTGGCTGCTACCACTGCTGCTGTTCCAGCAACAGTTGCGGCCGATTTGGTGATATCGGAAACATGGAACTTCTCGTCTGTGGATTTAACAACTTCCATGCCTGCATTGATTTTCTCAGTGAGCCCAATTCTATTGCTTAGCTCATAAACCTTGGCTGCTGCAGTAGCTGAGACTTGATGGGACTCGTCGAAAGCTTTGGCCTTTGTTAATGCGTCCTTGCCCAAAACATATCCCTTGGCTACCATTGTTTTGACAACTTCCTGAGCAACTGTTATTGCTTCTCCAGGAGTAGAAATGAACTCACTCGTGTGAAAAGCCTGATAATGTTATACAAGATTTAAGAAACAATGAAAAGTTTGAATAGCAATTGAGACAGTCAATTTGATAATTAAGCCAGGTTTGGATAATTAAGTGGTACATAACATTCAAAATTTTCCAAAGTCACCCTTAATCTCACCCCCGACCCACACAATCTCTTAATTGAAATCAAGTTAGAGCTTCTAATTTTTCTGAAAGCAAATTTTTCGAAAAATGATGGTGGTTTTTTCTTTTCGCCCTATATGGGCCTGGATAAGAATTTTACTGATATTTTAGTAGAGTTTAAGCCTTTGTTCAATTTTCTGAAGGGGGCCCAAGACAAGGCTTTGCTTACCTTTGGGCCGACCCTTTGCACATTTGATCCAAATTTTCTATATTACCGTCTTTCTAAGTTCTAGTATTCATCTATGATACCTTTTTAACCATCCGATTAAATTCTTAAAAGAACCACTGACATTTCAAAATCACAAGAAAATTTGTTGTGTAAGCTTGTACTGTAATTAACCTTCAACCAATCCAATCCAAGTAGTAGGTTACATACCATTGAGCTAGTGTTGCCTTCAGGATTGTATGGATTGTTCCAAGGATCAGATTCATCAATATAACTTCCCCAGCGTGTTATGGATACACATTGGTCTACAATGCTAGCTCCCTGGAATTTCGAAACAAGGACGGAAAGAGAAATTAGTGAACAAACAATGTCAAACATCCGGGGCATTGTGGCACTAAGGTTCATCCTTGGATTTAGTTCAGACAAGGCATTTCAACTCCATATGAAAAAGTGATCATTTTGTTAAAGCAAAAGCAGTCAAAAGTTATGAATCACCATTTATCACAATTCAGGGTAGAGTGCCCAGAAACTTACGCTGAGCATCACAGCAGTTTGTAGAGCAAACGCATCTCTGAATGTCACATATGCAGTACAGGCATATTCACCAGATCTGTTCCCAACGACAAAAGCATTCTCCCAGTCAAATACACATTCATTAAGAAATTTCAAAGGAATGAATGAATTAGGTGAAATATTGTACAACTCATGGAAGCATATGACTTATCATATTCGATCTTTAGGACCTGTCGTCTCAGTTTTGAAGATTTCTCATTACAGATGCTCAAATTTTTCCCTTTTTCTTTTCTTCACAAGCAAGTTTTTATTGAGTGAGGGCAGTCAGTTATCAAATGGGATTTGACTGAATTACTAAAAGTAATTCCACTGTTGTTCATGCAAACTAAAGTTTATGATCCCATTGCTACGGTGAGGCCATTATGAATATGAAGATTCCATTAACAGAAAACACAGCAATGAGCACACCTGAGAGCCAAAATGATGACTTCTAAACTCGTGGAAAACCGAAATTATATACCATTGTTTATGATGCTGACTTCTATTTCTTTAATTACTTAATTCTAGATCAAAAAAGTTAAAGAGGCTTCCCAAAAGGCATTTTTCCTTTTGACCTTCTCCAAAAACAAGCAGCTTCTGACCAACTCAATGAGTTTATGGTGGACAAACCCCATATATAATCATCACTAAACAATCACTTTCCAGATTCAGTGCATAATAAAAAACAAAACAATGGAATCATTGTCAGTAATTAAAAGCAAGGGAAGATGAATTCTATACCTGATGACTTCAACATGCTCAACTGCACCACAATGACTGAAAAAGTCATAAACATCCTGCTCTGTAGCTTTAGGGGATAAGTTTGTCACTTCAGCAGTGTAACCACCAGGGTACATTTTCCTGAAATCCTTGGAATAAAAAACTGGATTGAGAGGATACTTAAAACCGGCTTATAAACATAAATGGTCATCTAAGAATCATTCTGTTCGTTTTGGTTGGAATCATAATAGCCTTTCATAGTAAGGTTTGAGGACTAAACGAAAGAGATAAGGAAAATATCAGAAATGGATAGAAGGCATTATCATGTTCGAACAAGCTTTGCTTGCATTGCACATGTAAAGATCATCCATACGCCATAGGCCCATAACCCTCAGTGGTCCCTACATCAAATTAAAAGGAAAAAACAGAAGAAAAGACAATTGGATGCTTCTTCTAACATCTAGTGAAACCATGAAGTTTAATTCCAAACCAATGATAACTTGAATACATCAGCCTTAAAATAAAATTTAAAAACTTGAAACCCATCTAAAGTCAGAAACATTCCAAGGCAATGATGCAGTTTCCCTGCATGATTCTCAGCCACTCTTAGAAGAGGCCCTGCATTAAGTGGCTATAAAACAGCATGTTCTGCGCATCAATTAACGCAGCATTAATATGCATAATTTCGTATTATAATTCTGAAACAAAGAAAGAGAGGGATTTTCACCTCAGAACCATCATAGAAACACAGTCTCCTACAAATTCCTAAGAACCAATGTCAACTTGTATTATAAGCATCAAAGAAAGCCAAAGATAGTGGGAAAGTGACAAACTTTAGGCACAGTGCTAATGTCTTTTGATTAATTGTCGCGATTAACCAAGTCAAAGCCACTTGATGATTCTGTCATTGATAATTTGGACAAAAATAAACGAATTTGAAGCTAATTTGATAATGGGAACTAGGTGAACTGAACAACCCAGACAGAAAAGTTTGTGAACTTGAGAAATATTACAGTTTGCATACCTGTTGTCGAATTTTGAGAGCGTTAGAAGCTCCAATGAAGAAGAAGAAGAAGAGCGTGGTTTTGATTGTCGTTGGAGGAGCGTGGCGTGGGGCTTATCCCTTTAAGCCGCCGTCGGAGATTTCTATGATCCGAGTGGCGGGGAATCTAGTTTTCAGTTAGGATGAGGATAATCATAAAGGTCAAAAGGTCCTTTAAAAAATAATAATAATGAAAATAAATAACAAAAACAGGCAAAGGTTGCTGCACCAATGAACGGTGGCGTATTGGTTAAGGTCCAACCGTCCAAACACTCAGAAGACGAAATTAGTGAAAAGCCCCGCGAAATTATAACTTTTTCATACATGCCCCGCAAAATTAAAAATGGTGTGATTTTAGAAAGTCTTTAATATCAGAAATTAAGGCGCGCACTAAACATTGTTGAGCTATTTCTTATGTTTATGTGTCATACTAATTATGATGATTTTTTTTTTCCAAAGTTCTTAGATGACAAACAAACATATAACACCAACGTCAATTAGTTGTTGGTGTAATGGTAATTATCTCTACTTAGTTGGAGGTGGTTCAACTTACATTACATAGGACGATATACCTTTATAATGAGTTAATTC